AAGAAACCCGTTCAGCAGCCTCTGTCCCAGCCCGCAACGGCGTAGGACTCGGCTTATCCATGCTACCAAACTGGCATAAGGTCAGAGTCCGATCAAAGCGCCATGTGCAGACTCGTGCGTCCTGCGCAGGCGCGGCCTCCGGGTGCCAGGTGCCGCATCGATCTTCCGGACTGCCATCTTCCTGCCACGCATCTCGCCACCTTGAGGACACATCTGCCGGCAACCCTACGCATGTTCAAGTCGCCCGCAAAAACACAGCAATCTACATGACTTAATGCCTCCAAAGTCCCCAAAACAGCTTCCAGTTCACATTCCCTTTCCTTGTCCCCATTCGAGCCTGCGGTGAAATGAGCCGTCGCCAACACAAGCGCGCACCCGTTTGCAGGCAGGGTAACATGCACTTGCGCAAACCGTCTGCTGGACGGTAACGGCAACGGCGAAATGGTGACTCGGCGACTCTGCACGACGTCGTGCTTGAGCAGCAGACACACATCGAAGCCTTCCGCAGGGGCTTGGCCACGCAGCAGAGGAGACACCACTTCGTAACCTTTTTGTTGCCCTAACAAGCAAAAGTCTTCCAAGCACTGAGTTGTAACTTCCTGCAAGAACATAACATCACACTGCTCAAGAAGAGGTTCAAACCAAGGACCGGGCGAAAGCAAGTGCATGTTCAGGGTCCCGCAACGCAGAGAACATTGCTGCAGCTGCGCAGTCAGAACCTCTGGCTCTTGTTCTTCCGTATCGGCATCTTTAGTTGCTTCGATGTACACAGGCGGCACCTCAAAACCTAAGCCCGCGCGCCGATCGTGCGTGTTGCACTTCTCTGTGAGTCTTCGGTACCATTTGCGGCGCGCACGCCGGACCAGCCGGCAGTTGTTCGTCATTAGCAAAGCTTTTTGCTGCACTGAGATGCGGCAAGCGTGCCAAGCTGCATCTTGCAAGTGCAAATCCAAGTCTTGTAGCAGCTGCCGCTCGTCTTGCGTGAGTACCTTGGTGGCACGCGCACCTTGCGAAATCACATACACCATGCTAGTTGCAGTTGGGAAGACACGTTGAAAATCTACATCCTCTGCAACTGCATGCTGTCCAAAGACATCTGCAGACAGGCCCACTTGCAAGCCGGCATCTACCGTGTTACGGAGAACACATTTTTCTAGCAGCGCGCTTTCCTCCATGTCCCCCGATCCATCCGACTCTGAATCCGTATGCGCAGGCGAACCAGGACGAGCTGCCCTAGCAACGCAATTGTCAATCTCGTGGAAACTCCACTTTTCGGCTTTTGCAAAGCTCCAATCGGTCAAATACTCCTCGTGCATTTCAGCAAACTGAGCGGATATCTCGGCTGTCTTTTCATCTGGCTGCTGCATCCCTGCTGCGGTTGGATCGACACGGGGCATGCGTGATCCAAAGTTGATCGAATGCAAGTGCATGATTCCGCCTGCGCCCCACTCGAACACACCTTGCCCATCCTCGTACCTCAGCACGTGTTTGTAGAACAGTTCCATTTTGTAAGCCGTGAACCAGGCGACAACGCCCGGGTAGCGGAGGACTCGCCGGCGTTCCGGCGCTAACCGCCGTTCTGCTGGTTCCAAAGGATCCGCTCTGTCGCCCCGCCGCTTGCGTACTGCTGCTTCATAGTGCTCCAAACATTGGGCAAGGTCGTCCCAATGGTAGATGGCGGTGGTCAATGTGCTGAAATGACACGGGATCTCGCCACCGCCTTGCACGCGCAAACTGCGCTGTTGCACTTCAGACAACAAACTTTCAAGGGCTTTGCGGCCGGAACCAGGCCTTGAACCTACAAAAGCACTATCTTGCTCAGTAAAACTGACTTCAAATTCTTGCTGCAAGGGTTCTGCCGCGCGGTCCACATCGGCGCGCGCGACATCGGCTTGAGCTGCTTCATCCTTCCCGCGGTCCACATTGACGCGCGAGACGGAAGGCTTGGCTTGGGCTTCTATGGTTTCAGGCGACAACACTTTCTCAACAGCAGCTTTTGCAGCGAGGCAAGCAGCTTGCAGCTCCGCCGTGGCAGCAGCGCACCCTTGCTGCTCAAGCAGTTTGCAAGCTAGGTCAGCGGTCTGCCAAGACTGTAACAAAGCGTGAGCCTGGTCTTGCAAGGTCTCTTGCTCAATCTGTTCCACCATGGCCTCTAAGTCACTGCGTTGTCTCAACTTCTCCTGTGCAGAGCCAGCCATGGAATGTTCGAAAGCGGAAACGATCTTGGTGAACTGAGCTTTACCCATGTTGAAAAGTTCTTCAGTGGTGTACGCTACATTATTGCTGGCTCCTTGCTGCCGCTTCATGAAGTACCCTCGGGCGCGCAACGCCTTGTTCCTCAGAGCAGTGTTCAACGCAAAGAAATAAAACCGGGGATGGGCTTGAAACCTGCCATCAGAGCGCAAAAGCAAATGCTTTAGCCATTCCCAGAAAGACAAAGGTTGCTGGTTCTCTTCTTGCCGCTGATGCAGATGTGCCCAGAAATCTCCGTATCCAAGAGGAAACAATTTCACAAAACCAGCAACAATGTAATACGGCTGGTCTTCGCGAACAAGCTGGTTTCTGGATGCTACGGTTGGAGGATCCAGAATTGGCACTCCTTGCGCACGAGCCGCTCCGAAGCGGCGGATGGTGGATTTGTTGCTGCCACTCTCGTTCGCCGCGCAGACTGCTTCCCATAACTCATCTTTCAACTCCGCTTCCGTCTGCTGCCCGGCTACATCTTCAGGCGACCAAAGGCCATCAGACACCAAAGGTTCTTCCCAGCTTGCCAACTCCTGCGCTGCAGTCAGTTCGTCGTGTAAAATGTTCTCCACTTCGAGCACACTTTTGTCGGAGAACTGCAGGGACAAATATTGGGCAAGCGTCTTTAACATCAAGTCTGCCGGGCCACCAACTACATCCGGGGCTTTGGCATCCATGGCAGCGCGGAGATTCTGCCACAAAACATCCATCCGCTCCGCCGGGTCCTGCACATCCTGCGGCTCGTGCAACAAGCGCACTTGTGCGGCCATCTGCAACTCCAAGGAACAGGACATCCACATAGCGAACAGCTTGCGCTCCACTCGCTCCCATGGCGTTTGTTCCACCACCTCAACTTGCAAACCATGGGGTTCCTCACCTTCCTCAGTGTCTGCATATTGCCCCAAGTTCTCTTTCTGCCACGAAATCTGCACATGGAGGTTCACAAAGTGCTGCGCCTGCCACGAAATCTGCACATGGAGGTGCACAAAGTGCTGGGCCTGCCACGAAATCTGCACGTGGAGGTTCACAAAGTGCTGCACCTGCCACGAAATCTGCACATGGAGGTACACAAAGTGCTGCACCTGCCACGACATCTGCACATGGAGGTTCACAAAGTGCTGCACCTGCCACGAAATCTGCGCATGGAGGTGCACAAAGTGCTGTGCCTGCCAGGAAATCTGCACATGGAGGTTCACAAAGTGCTGCACCTGCCACGACATCTTCACTCCAAGAAACAAGTGGTAACTCTAATCCCAATGGACGGACGATTCCGAGAATGACCCGAGACCGTCTCGCAACCGTCGTTCCGCAGACCTTGCCTTACCAGCTTCGGAGCCACCGGTTCCATTGAAAAATACAGCATTTCGTGCCTTCGCTATCTCTCCACAACGCATTTTGTCTTGCGCCTGCCACGAAATCTGCACATGGAGGTGCACCAAGTGCTGTGCCTGCCACGAAATCTGCACATGGAGGTTCACAAAGTGCTGCACCTACCACGACATCTGCACATGGAGGTTCACAAAGTGCTGCACCTGCCACGAAATCTGCACATGGAGGTTCACAAAGTGCTGCGCCTACCACGACATCTGCACATGGAGGTTCACAAAGTGCTGTGCCTGCCAGGAAATCTGCACATGGAGGTGCACAAAGTGCTGCACCTGCCACGACATCTTCACTTCAAGAAACAAGTGAAAACTCTAATCCCAATGGACGGACGATTCCGAGAATGACCCGAGACCGTCTCGCAACCGTCGTTCCGCAGACCTTGCCTTACCAGCTTCGGAGCCACCGGTTCCATTGAAAAATACAGCGGTGTATGATGACTGGTGTATGATGAGGAGTGTGTGACAAGTGATGTATGATGAGGAGTGTATGATGAGTGGTGTATGATCAGTGGTGTATGATGAGTGGTGTATGATGAGTGGTGTATGATGAGTGG